ATTTGGTCCATTTCTAGAACCACTGTTAAAAATTTCATTAAATAATAGACGTTTTCTTTTCTTTTTTTATCATCAAAAAACACATATACCAAATCATAAAATCGATTTTGAATGATTAAAAGACAAAAAAATCATATAAAGATGAAAACGTCCCTCATTTAACAGATTTTTTAACAACAGTTAAGGAGGAGATAAAACCTGGATAGTTTTGCAAAATACGATGGTAATCTTGTAATTCGAAACTATGGAGGTGTTTGAGATTGCTTATTTGAAACAACTTAATTATATTTTTCTACAAAAACACTTATTAAATTATTATAAGTCAGAATGGTTTAACTTCTTCAAAAACTCCGTATTATCCGTTTGACACCGGTATAAGTTGTTTATCCAAACACTTAAAAATGCTTATTACTGGTGCCACACCGGAATAAATCAATAATTTGTTTTTACAAGCAATCCCAAACAGGCCCTATAATAACTAAAAGTGTTGTTTTTGACGAACCACATGGACCTTTGTAGCTTACTTTTGAATATATGTAAAAAAAGGTTTTTAGATAAATATTTTTACAACAACATTTCTTTTGTTTTTAATTTGAAATTAGGAATTTTTTTATTTTTATTAATTTTTTTATCATTTAATAACTAATCAAACATTTTGTACTTAATTATCATTTTAGAACTGTTTGGTAGTTGCTTGATGGTTTATTGCAGAATAATTAAGTGATCAGAATGATTAAAAGACTCTTGTGATGTACTGCAAAATGAAATATAATTGTTTGGTAATTGTTCAGAATATAATTAGGGCGTTGAATGGTTAAAGAATACCCAAGATACAAAAATATTCAGAGGATTTTAGAACCATTAACAAACAAATTTTTTTTTTTGCCAAACAAGATTCACCTCTTAGCGATTCAGAGGTTGTCTATTAATGAAACTATTAAGAGGTAAAAAAACAACCCCTTACTAACAAATATTAAAGCATTTCAAAAAGATTTTTTTAGAATAAAGTAAATAAAGATTTTGAACAAAATTTTATTTTCAATATATTCTCTAAAATAAAGAAAGTAGCAGAGAATGTGAAATTCGCCAAATTTAGAAAAAAAACCCAAAAAAATGATTAACACGGGAGATGTATTTTTATTATATTCCCACTAATAAGAAATCTTGAAATTAAATATTTATGAAAGACAGATAATATGTAATTAAATGTATGAAATATTTAAATAATATAATTAATAATGTAATATTTAAAATGGAGAAACTAATTTTCAAATTTGATTTTTCATTTCAAAGAAAATTTGAATAATTAATTAAAGACGCTCCTGTTCTTGTTGGGAAAAACATGAACACAAATTAAGGGGTTGTTTGATCATTTTCCATTAAATCATGTATAAATAAAGTTGCATGTTTGAATTAATTTGTCTGTATAGATCAGAAATTTTTTGTTTGTAGAGTTTTTTAATAAATGAAATAAACATGCTTTTTAATGGGGAGAGACGGATTTGGGAAAGAAAACGTAGGGGCTGTTTGAGATTGTTTATTTGAAATAACTTATGATTTTCTACAAAAGTCCTTATCAACTCATTATAAGTTAAAATAATTTAACTTTTTTAAAAACTCCTTGTAAGTCACCGGTATAAGTTTTTTTCTCCAAAAACACTTAAAAATGCTTATTACTGGTGTCACATCGAAATAAGTCAATATGTTGTTTTTATAAACAATCTTAAACACCCCCTTACTATTCTATATAAAACTTACTGAATAAGTCACTTTCTATCTCATTAAGCCACTAACAAATAATTATATATAACTTACTAAATAAATTATAAATCAAAATAAAAAAATATATAAATTTGAGAATTTGATATAAAAATAAAAGTATGGTTCATTTGCATTAATTTGGATCTAATATAATATAATAATTATTATAAAATAATATTTAAATGATAAATAAAATGATTATACAGCAAATTTAATGCTACAAGTTGGTATTATAAAGCATCTGAATTTGACAGTGATCGCTAGCAAATATGTGATTATAAAATAAGATTAAAAATAATTAATTGCTTAATTATAATTAAATTCTTATTGTAACTTATCTCTTCAGAGTTGTTGGACCACAATCAACATCCATTTATATTTTATTTATAAAGTTTTGAGTAAATTACAAGTTTAGTCCATGTGGTTTGTCAGAAATAACATTTTTTTACCTTCGATTTTGAAATTATAAGATGGTAATCATGATTTGTAAAAACGTTCAGATTTAGTCCCTTCCTTTAACGATCATGAAAAAGTTCCATTAAATGAGGGATATCTTCATTCTTTAATTGATTTTTTTTTGTATTCATTTAAAGGAGTTTAGAGGGAGGGACAAAATCTAAATGTTTTTACAAACTTTAATAGCCATTTAATAATTTCAAAAATATAAGGACTAAAAATGTTATTTTTAACAAACCACAAGGACCAAATTTATAGTTTATTTAAAGTTATTATGTATTTTTATAATCTAGTTATTATTATGTGTGTGTATATATATGTATGAGCTATTTATATATATAGATCAAATATTGTGTGAGAATATTAGTTAAGTTGAGAAGCATAAGAAAAGATCTGGACATTTGATCATTTTTAATCTCATCCAACCTATCAATTGAGTTATCACAAGAATTGATCCAATGCATCTCGATACATCTCATTACTGTTGATCTTCAATTATGATTGATCGAAGGGTGGGGATCCCTTCTTACTCTTCTCACCAGGCTTTCATGAAACAGTGTATTACAATTTATTTTAATCGTTAACAAGTTTGAAATGAAAAAGGCGGTGAGTTTGAGGGACAAGACATGATTAAGAGATAATAAAAATTAATTGTTTCATATTTGGTGTAATATTAGGTTGCAACAATACAAGCTTGGGAGACATATAATGCATTTTTTTGTCCTACCAAATAGATAGAACCAAAATCACGAAGATTTGTGAGCCCTAATAAGCTGAAAGTTGTTGGCTACCAGTAATTTTTACCATGGTTTTAAAATAATTTGGATGCTACTGGGTCAGCTTGCTGTTTTGGACTATGGTTGTTACACAGGGCATGGCTCAGTTTTTTATACATATTAAGCTTTTACTCATCTTAAATGTTCGACATGTTAGGTCATAAATTGGTACATAATTTAATAAAATATTTAGTCAATTATGAAAATCATCTATGGGGTACAAGATTTGTTTGGTTTTACGATTCATTTATTACAAAAAAGAAATCCTTAAAGTGCATATTTTGTGTTGGTTTTAATCCCCTCAACTCCGTTAATCGTTTAACGTTAAGTGTAATCATCTGCTCTGCATACGAGGACTATTCAGACATTTTGCTTTTTAAACATGACATGACACGTTAGAAAAGCCCTCCCTCCTAATTTTCCCTTTTTCTTCCAACATCATCCCCACTTTTTTCGACCTCCATTTTTAGATGAGCAACCACCGACGAGGAGCGCGAGACAACTGCATCACTACCCCCTCGTGAATATTTTTTTGCCCTTTTGTCTCTCTCATTTGCTCTCGTGAATTTGTTGCTTCTATTTCATATCCACGAACTTCATATGCTTCAACTTCATCTGCTTTTAGAGCATGAGGTTTAGTGTTTGATATCAGTTTTAGGTGTTGAAATTTAAGGGTTTTGATTCTCAGTATAATCTCATTTCGATTTGCAGTTTTGATTTAGAATACATAGAGTTTTATATCACAAACATTTTGAAAGGATTTGCACAAATTAGTATTTGGGTTCATATGTTCTTGTGATTTTGATGTTCATAGTAATTGGTCTTGTACAATAAAAGTTAACTTACAAAAAACAATGAAAATATAACCAAAATACTCTTAATATAAGTAAGGGTCACATGAAGACGCTTAAAGCTTAAGACGTAACAATCGTTAAAGGAAAGGCTGAAACCAAGAGAAACCTGTATCGTATGGTTTTCTCTGTTAAATAAGTTATAAAGACAAAACTAAAACAAACTTTATCTTTTTCAGATTAAAAATATAGTTTAGTAAATCGGATAATGCATTTATCACACCCCCTTTACTCAAATATTTTTAACAAACTACAAATTTAGACCCAAGGTTCTAAATGGCGTGAGACGTAGCATGCGACAAGATCAAGCCTCAAGTTATGGAAGCCACGAGTTTTTTAAGGCGTGACTTATGGCAGCAAATCTCTATATCATATATTAAAAACTAATAAATAAGACATTAAAAAGATAAGTAAAACCAAATATTGTGTTACAAAAACCACACACTACACCATGACGTGCCTCAGAAATAACATTGTGTGAGACACAAGTCTGAGTCATGGCACGTCATAGCGGTCGTTGCCGCGAGCTTTTTCGAACATTGTTTGGACCCTCTAGTTTGTAAAAGATAACACTTTTTTTTTATCCTTATGGTTACATAATCACACGATTACTTTGTAAAAATGTTCAAATTTGATCCCTCTATCTAACGTCCAGTAAGATTTTCCATTAATGATAAGTAATTCGTTCTATTATCGATTTTTTTTTTTTAATCTTTTACTCAACCAAAAACCATAAGGATCAAAATCATAAAATCGATTTAGATTGGATAAAAAAGAAAAAAATCGTTAAAACCCCGAAAATGCTCCTCATTTAGCAGAAACTTTTAAATGTCGTTAGAGATAGAGACCAAATATGGACGTTTTGACAAACCATAATGTTTAGTTTCTAATTTAAAAATTACAGGGGTGAAATTGGTTATTTCTGACAAAGTACAGGGACCAATTTTGTAGTTTATTGTAAGAAAATATTATAGGAAGTAATATTGGATTTTAGTGAAAAAGATTTATTCGGAGGATAATAAGCCGTACATTGTCTGCCACGTCTATCGGTTACAAACTCCAACACCACACCACATGGATCCCACCTGTCATTTCTCATTTTATATATACCACCTATACATACACCCTCACCTGTATCTATCTATCCACCCTCACAACACTTGTTCGCCCATCACATTCCTCACCCCTAGACAACAAGATATCGTCCACAGAAACACCAACTCTCCCTCAATTTAGATCATCATCATCTCCACCGAATTAAGGTAACAATTTCTTCATTTCATTTCGATTGATTTCAAATTTAGTCGGTATTGCGGATTAATTGATTCATCGGTTGATCAATTTGTGTTTTGTAGCGAGGAGGAAAGATCATGTTGCAATCGCAATCGCAATCGCAATCGCCATCACAATCACAATCACGCTGCTGTTCGCAGTGTGGTACCAATGGCCACAACTCGCGTACTTGTTCATCGGCGGCGGATGATTCCTCTTCCGATGGCTCTGGCATCGGAGCCGGCGAGATCATGTTGTTTGGCGTGAGAGTGAAGGTTGATCCGATGAGGAAGAGTGTGAGTATGAACAATCTATCGCAGTACGAACAGCCTGCGACTCGTGAATCGTCTAATAACAACATCGATGTCGCCGCAGTCGCCGCTGTTGCTGCAGATACTGGCTACGCCTCCGCGGACGATGCTGTCCGCAACCAGTCCAACGGTAGCAGAGAGCGCAAACGAGGTAAGATCTCACGTCATTGCATATCATTTTATCCAAAAATTATCGGTTTTTTTCGATGCTTCAGTATTTCATCGCGGCTTTGATCTCTTTGCTCGCTTTATGATCAAAATCGATCTCTGATGTAGTTATCTATTAAACAAAATCATGAAAGGGTCAAATTTTAGTACTTCGTAGATTAGATCTTATTGATAGACCCGTAATTGGGACAGAGAGATAGGATTTGTGTTTTCGAAAGGAGAATGAATGTCTTGTTGTGAACTAGGTTTCTGCCCTATCAAGTGTGGAATTTGTTAGGGTGAATTACTAACTATTTCTGACATTGAAAATCCAACAGGGGTTCCATGGACTGAGGATGAACACAAGCTGTTCCTTCTAGGATTGCAGAAAGTAGGTAAAGGAGACTGGAGAGGAATTTCAAGGAATTTCGTGAAGACCCGTACCCCTACACAAGTTGCAAGCCATGCTCAGAAATACTTCCTCCGCCGGAGCAACCTCAATCGCCGCCGGCGTAGATCTAGCCTCTTTGATATCACTACTGATTCGGTGAACATTTCTAAATCTAATATAGTCATGTCAAATAGTTGAATACATATATCTTTGGTCCTATTGTGATAGGCTTAGCGATCAATTATCACTTCCTGGTTGGGCTTAAATCTTAATTAGATTTGGAAGTCTAATTGAAATTTAGATGCCTTTATTTATGAGTAAATCAAAGTGATTTCTATAGATTGTTTGCATAGGGATGCAGTTACTTAGGCATGATTATGAGATGATCAAACTTACAACAAGGGTTGTTTGGTTGGTTTTCCATCAAATCCTGTGTGAGTAAAGTTATTGGGAATGTTTTTTCCTAGACGGAAGAATCGTGTTTTTTAATTGAGAGGAGCATTCTGAAAAAAACTTGGCTTTCTAGATAATTGCTCCCTACCGGCTTACTAAATAAGCCACTTTCTATATTATTAAGCCACTACCAAAAAGTCTTGTATAGTTGACTAAATAAGTTGCGAGTCCATTTAAGCTCATTAAGCTGCTAACAAACAAGCGCTAACACTTTCCTACATCATGATTTAGGTTCCTGCTGTGTCAACAGAAGAACAACAAGTTCCTGAAGACAACAAAGGTCAAGATCTTCTGCAACCATCTTTACAGCAGATATCTCCCCGAAATGGGTTCCCAACCACAACCTTCCCAGTGGCAGTTGGTTCGGTTCTACCCCCAGTACAGCTTGCCAATGTTGATCAAGACACCAGCGAATCAATGCTACTCGGTCGCCCAAACCCCATGTTTCCAACACCTAATCCATCGACAATGGTGGATCTTAATCTGAATAAAAGATATGAAACCGACCCATTGCCATTATCTCTTAATCTTTCTCTATCATTCGGCCACAATCAATCGTCACAGAGGCGATCTTCTCCATATCTTTCAGGCTTCACAACTGGAGATGGCATGGTGAGAGTTGCTTAACATCCAGAAAGAGGATAAAAAAAATAAGAATAGACAAAGTCAATCAGGTAAATTAGTTATTGACTTCAATTAATCCTCTTGTCAAGTATTTATTTCTAAATTTATATTATGTTGTTGTATGGTGCCCACTGCCCACTGCCCACCTTAGGTGCATGCTCATGTCTATTTATGTTTGTTCTTGTAATTGGAAAAAAAGAGGAACTGAATACAACACCAGTTCCATTTTGTTTGTTGTGGGAGGAGGTGGGGTTGGATATGAGTGGGATTCATCTAATGGATGGTTTGTAGGAGTAGGGCATGATATCTAGAAGTGGAGATCACATCTGGTGACTGAATTGCTGTAGCCCTTTTAATGATATATACGATAGTAATAATATGGTTGCTCTGCATTCTATGAGTGTCTGTTAGAATCTTAGAACTTCTATTCTAAAAACCAAACCAAACCAAACCGACACAGTAAAATCTCGTCTGAAAGTAGGGACTTTTTGGGGTGAAGATGTATGTAGACCTAACCTCTATGTCAAAAGGGACTTTTATTATGTCGATACGAATTGACGTTGCGGGATATTGTCATCAATAAACACAATCGATAGTTGCAGGAAACAGAATATTGAACATTGTATTTACATGGTGAATCAATTAGGTAATGATTTAGAGGTTGTTTACCAAATGCTTATCCAGACAAGTGCTTGTTGAGTTTCATTTATCTTACCGAATGAATATGAGAAGGATCAAGAATCTGACCCGGTAAGAGCTATACCAAGGAATAAGAATCTTATCCGGTAAGACACGCTTACCAACAATCCATTTTAATGGTCGAGAATGTTACCCCAATAAAATAAATGAGGATAAAAGCTCTTGTCGGTAAGACATCTCCAACACAATCATTAAAAATAGAACACTAAAAAAATCAACGCTCACCCACACATTAAAAACAAATACTATAACAATAACAATAAAGTAATATATGTATTTATAAAAATTTAATGTTATATTAATATATGGAGACGATTTTAATATAATTTTTAGTGTTTTAAGGGATTTATTTAAAACAATTTGTGGTTTTTTTTTTGTAAAAATGCAACTTATGTGATATCAAATCGGAATTTTGTAAAAAGTGTTTGGATTAGTTTATTTAAGCTGATAAGTTGTTTTTTAGTGTTTGACAAATTTTGTTTATGTATGTAAAATGACCAAAAAGGATAATCTTCCATATTATTGACTTATGAGAGTGTTTGAGATTGCCTATTAACTTATTTGATTTTGTAACATGTACAAATTTATTTTTCATCATTTATAAGAATATCTTTGACAAAAATTTATATCAATAAGATTAATAATTTATATCAATAAAATTAATAATTAACAAATATTAATAAAACATGGTTAAAATATTAAACCGGTAATAAGCAGTTTTTCATAAGTCATGAATGATTAACTTATCAAAAACTGTTTATTACTGGTTTGACATCGGTATAAGCAGTTTTATTTTTTCACGTCCAAACTCTAGCATTTAGCTTATCATCGGTGACATACTGAAATAAGTCAAAAAACATATAAAATAAACAATCTCAAACACCCTCTTAATGTTGGATGGAATATAAAAAACACCTTATTTTTGTATTTTGAATATTGGAAACACCTTATTTTTGTATTTTAAGCACGTGGTAAACAATTGAATTAGCAAGAATTAGGTTGATGTAGTGTAGAGGAGGGGAGTGATATTTTTGGGGTTGTTCACATGTGAATGTGATTGAGACGTGGGGGTGGTTCCTGGTTGTGTGGTGGTGAGAAAATATAGTGGGGGTAGGGTATGAGGATAATGTTATCCAGGATTTGATTTGACAACTAGTATGGGGGGGGGGGGGGGGTGGTTGGTCCTAACCCACCCATCCTCTCTTACCATTCTTTGCTTTTTAAACACAAAGTTAGGTCTCCAATCTAATCCTTTGCTTTCCCAAAGAATAAAAAGCGTTCTTAATAGTTTCATTAAAAGACAATATTTGAATCGTTAAAAAGTGAATATTGTTTGACAAAAAAAAATGTCTGTCTCTTAATGGTTCTAAAACCATTCGAATGATTTTGTATCATGGATCTCCCTTAACCGTTAAGAGCCCTAATTTCATTGTACACAATTACCAAACAATTATATTTCATTTTACACTATATCATGAGAGTCTCTTAATCATTCTGATCACTTAATCATTCTGTACCAAACCATTCAGCAATTGCCAAACAGCTCCTAAGACATAAAAGCTTGGTTTTCTTCTGCCTCCTCATTTTTGGAAAAAATAAGGTAAAGTAACACTTAAATTAGGATAATTATCTTAAAAAATAAAATGCATCAAAATATATTAAAGTTTGGTTTAACTTTTATCTACTGTAATCAAAGATCTTTTCCTTTCTCATTTGACATGACAAATGACCTGTCATATGTTGATCTTATAACATTTGATTACATAGATGTCAAGTTTATCTATTATTTCGTTGTACTCTTTCGTAAACAATTTGTAAACAAGTATCTACATAACCAAGTATTACAAGATTTGCATGTTAACTGTTAACACATGGGTGCATGGGCTACTTGGTCTGCCTGAGACTTAGGTCGCACGTAATCACATGTGGTTTTAGACGTGAGTTTAATGTAAAATCACATGTGATATGACTGTTTATATGATTTTTCTTGTTTGAACCTGACTCAACATTTAATTATTTATTTATAGAATTGCGGACTTTACGGTGTACAAAGTGATTAGAAAGTTGCTTTTCAAAATTTAACATGAAGTCAAAGACTTTTAAGTTCTTGAAAGCATACAAGATGTTTGATTTTTGTATCTAAATGTGATCTTCTCCCATGATTCATGGGATGGTGTTTAACCTTAAACTTCAACTTCAACTTCTCCTCGTACTTGCAACACCCAACGAATACTTTATTTCTCTCTCTAAACCTCGTAACTACCACTTTAATAATGTTTCTTTTTCATTTAGTATTCGAGATTTGTGTTAAATATATTAATTAATATTTTATTTAATAAAAAATTGTTAAAAATGGAGCTCAAACCAATAATGCCACCGAGCCTTTTGGCTTGTAGCTCAGTTGGTGAAGTGGCAAAACGATTTTGCTCAAATACACAATATGTTCAACTTCGAATCTTTCGAGAGACGGATTTGAACCCCTCTGCTAGTCTCGACCCTTCTTTTAGCTATGAAATACTTCATCACATGTGGTTCATAGGGGATAGATTCCATGTGTGGTTGGTTTGGGTTGTCGATGATCAAGCTTTATTGATCAAATCATGCCACTGAGCTAGTCGATACTCGATGTTATATTAGTCGTAAGGTACCTACTAAGGGGTTGTTTACAACGTCTAATGGGTGGGCATGCAATATGTGAAGGAGAAGGCTCTTACCAAATTAGCGTCTACTGGATAAGAGACGTTTACCAGTAATATATTTTGATGACCGATAATGTTACCCGATAAGATATGCAAGGATTGTGACTCTTGCTGATAAACGCTTACCTAGAAAGTATTTGGTTAACAGCTCCTCTTGTCAATGTTTATAAACATGTGATTCTTTTTTACACTAATTTTATATGAAGAGTTGGTTCTTAGTTTTATATGAGTTCAAATAACTTCGGGTAGGGGTCTTAGCAGTTTAATGAGGTTAACGAGATTTATAACTTATTTGGTCAACTATACATTGGTAGTGGCTTAATGATATAGACAATAGCTTATTCAGTAAGCCTTTTTTTTTGGGAGGGGGCTTTATACAGAAAGCCAAGTTTTTTCTAAACTTGTTCCTTCCAATTGAAATACGCTCATTTCATATGTGAAAAAAATCACCCAAACAAAAATCTTACCAATCTATACAGACAACTTTGTACATGCAAGAGTTGATGGAAAATCAAGCAAACAACCCCTTAAACTTATACGAACCCATACAAGTTCATAGGAAGAAGCCTTATATGAACTTATTAACACTAAGGGGCAGTACCCTAACACTTACCCGATTAAACGCTAACTAAGTTGAGTAAGAGTCGTCACTCTCATTTACAGGGTAAAACTCTCGGTCTTTGTCATCATTCTTACCGGGGTAAGATTATCGGTATTTTCCATGCCCATCCATAAAGTAAGTGATCCAGTAAGCACTTACCGGGTAAGCATTTGGCAAACGCTCCCCAAGTTTAAGTAATCCAAGCTAGGCCAGGCAGACCTTTTCCGTAAACTTTTTAGGCTTCGTAAGCCAAGAACGTAACGTGAGCCTATATAATATCCACAAGCCGAGTAGGCTGTCCGATAAACTAGGTAGACAAACCAATCCGAAAGCGTTTTTGGCCTAGTAAGCCGCAAAGTTGGCCCGAGCGTATATATTTTTAACAAGCCGAGTAAAAGCATCTCTAATTAGTAGACTATGAGATATTGCCTCCAACCAATCCGGGCGACTATTATGCGACCTTAGTCTCCATGTAGAAGGTCGGCTTAGACCACCGCACAACCCGCATAAGTCTTTGTGGACAGCCCCTCGACATAACACCACGTGACTAGGCACTCAACTCTAGTCGCCCGTGTGGTTTTCGGATTAAAATCACCTGTCTTAAAATCTTATGGCTCATTTCTCTCCACCAATCACATTGGTACACATAATCAGAGAGAGATCGTGAACATGAATTAAATAAATATAAATTGATTTGGCTTAATCTCATCGGAAGGATAGGGATGAGAGGTGCGATTTTGGGACGATGATTTGTATCTGTGGTTTTTGGATTTGACGACCCCAGTGGGGTGCGCAACACTTCACGAGGCTTTTTGAAGTCGCCCGCACGGTTTTCGGGTGTGCGGGTGTTTACCCTAAGTATATTATCATCAAAGTCTGTAATTTCCCGACAAATTTGCTCCCGTAGAGAAAATCTTTTCTAAAGCTTTTAGCGAGAGTAACGACTTTACATAAGTAGTATTTTTAACGACTATAAGGGGCCGTTTACCAAATGTTTACCAGGTCACTTGTCTTATCGGATGAACATGACAGGACTGAGAATCTTACATGGTAAGAACGATGATAAGGATCAAAAGTCTTACTCAATAAAATGAGGGTGACGTCTTTTACCAAGTAAGCAAATAACGTGTACTCTTAGCATTGGAGATGCTCGAAGCTGAAGTTCACTTTAGATGCACCAATTAGATGAAAAAGCATCCATTCATTCAAGATAGCGACTCCTGAGGGAATTAACACCGTCTAAGTTTTCTTACTTTTATTATATACTTGGGATCATGTGAGACCAGCTTGTTTTCGTGAGATCCGACCATTTTCTTACACTTTTTTCAGATACCTTCATAGCATTTTGCTGTGAAGTTTCAAGTGTAAAAAAATAATATCACGGGTCTCACGAAAA